TAAACGAAAAAATAAATCTTTGCACAAGGTTCCATTCCCGTAGCATGTTTCATTTCGAAAATACAGCAATTTGAACTTGCGAGTTTTCACAGTGCGTGACACCAAAATAAGAATGCTGTCTCGTTGAAAAAAAGTCTCTCCTCTTGATTTTCTGCAGCATAACCATTTCAAGTATTAGAAGATATGTTTATGTACACGTACGTCGGTTCTCGAGTGAAAAGAAAGAGCTTTTATAGAAAAAGTGAACACCAGATGTTTTTGTTGATTTCCGGCGGCCATATTGGTGCACCAAAACTGTATACCAAGATGGCGTCTCCATACAAAGCTCTACAAAGGTGCGTGAAACGTTTCGGCAAATAACTCAGAAACTGTGGGCCACAAAGACCTGAGACTTGGACAAATTGTTTAAAAATTAGTCTTTTATAACATTTCATTTTCTTGGCTTCTTTCACTAGACGTTTTCCAATTTATTTTTTTGTTGCGTGGCAGTGAAAACGATCTATATAAAAAATTGTTACTTACAGTCTCTCTAATGACTAGAACGGTTTTTGTGTTTACTTAGCTATACGTACATCTTTCATGGAAGTATTCGCCGCTTCCCCAATGTGTACTCCCAAGAAAAGAACATCATTCCCTGAAAGTTTCAGGGACTATCTATCTTGAGTATTTTAAAGTTTCTTCCTTTGAAAAAACCTTTTAAATCAAATTCGGCCATAATTTAACAAAAAGGACTGTCAAGGACAAAGCCCGCACGGAATGTCATAGCTCTGTACGACAAAAATCCATGCGTGAGATGCTACTAGTCTCTTTGCTTTTAGAATAGGACCTAAGAGTTTGCGCTACCCTTTGAAGAAGGCTAAAAACATAACTACAAGAAAAAGAGGAAATTGCAACTATATATAGCTATATTCTAATTTTGGGAAAATTCCAGGACTTTTCAACGATTTATTGAATTCAAGGACATTACAAGGCCTTCCTCTTAATTCAGAAACTCTGGCTTTTCAAAACTGCGAACCCTGTTCCCACTCCCACAGATCCATCAATACCGGTAACAGAGTGACCAGAGACCCACGGGGCACCTGTTTAACCCTGGCCAATAAAACACAGAGCTAATATCTCCTTAAAAGATCCCCTCTGATCAGAAGTGAAATATCTGCGGGAACGCTACGACCGATGTAACCGCGCTGTTTCGCGTACTGAAGAAAGTTTAATTTGTGAGCACTGTAGACCTGAATTGATTCAAAAAAGCTTTTTAAGGATTGTACAGCATTTTAGTAATTTATAATTCTCAAGAAAAAGAAAACTGTGAAGTGCACGTTATCAATACGTTACTATATAATTATAGACTATTTTGAAGTCGAAACGACCTGTCCTGCAGTATTGTATTTCCTTTTGGCGTCCACTAAATGTTTTGATTATTTGAATTTATTCATGTATTTTAGCTCGTTTACTTGGAGCGTCCCTCTGAACAATTATTTTCATGTTTATCGGTCGGCTTTTTTGAGCATCTCATGTTAAAATAGGAGGACACCCTAAAGATAGTTTTCTAACCCGAATATCTCAACCCGAGTGCTTTGTTAGCTTTTTTTCCGGCAAATTACGTTTAAGCCCGCCCTCAACTTCCTTGTAAAAGCTAAACCTAAGAGAACAACATTCAATCAACGTAAAATGTTGCTCACAAATGAACAACAGCTAACGACGGCATAGTTACGTAACCTTTAAGAACTGAAGACAAGTATAAAGTCAGTATAGGTTTCGGTTACTGTCTTTCTGTGTTTGTAGATCGCTTTGCTCTTTGGGGGCTGCTTGAAGTTAAAGTTACGGTAATTTATCTGTTTATCGACATGTAAATATCCTAAGATTGTCGGACGCTAAAACAAATGTTCGGACGAAAATTAATGCCGAGTGCCTGGCGGAGAGAACTACAGGACCAAAAAACACCGTTTCCGAAGATGTTTGTTGAGAAAGATGATTTTTGAACTTATGCAACTTGTAAGAGTGATTCCTGATGATAAGCTTATGAAGCTAGTTTATTTTTGTTTTTGCGAGAACGCATGCGTATGACGACCTACAAACGCAAAGGCTCGCGTGGCTTTGCTGTATTTGCATTAATCACCACTGAGGCCACCTCTCTCCAGTTCCCCTACATGAATTAGAAGAAGTAGCAGAAAGTGAAGAGTGCAACAGCAGATACAACAGGCATTCAACGATCAAGGTTACTTTTAAATAAAGAGATGGATATTCACTGTTTTGATTGCCCCTGGTATTACAGATTTCTAGAGTTTAGCTATCTTTATACGAAGGCAGTAATAAGAAGCATGTTTTCAGGTTGTTGAATTCGATAGTTTGCGTGTGTGTTTTTTGTTGTTGTTTGTTTATTCTGCTCATTAGCAAAGATTTAAAAAGAATATAACGTTCGTACCAATAGTTACTTAATGCACAAAATGCAGTGCGGGTGTTATATTATTTTCTAAAGCGAAAATAGTGTGGTAAAAGAGAATACAGGAAGGGTTCATGATGTCAGATTCAGAAAAAAACCTGCAAATGACTAATTTGACTAACATTGTCGAAGAAGAGGAAATAACTGTAAAAAAACTGAATTCGTTGGCGTAAACAAGGCAGCTGGTTCGGCGTAACTCATGCTAGTGTAGATATGGTTGGCAGGTGATCTGTAACACATACTGCAGTAGATATCTTTCTTAGAGAAAAAACCGATCTCACAACATTTCACGATCGCTACTACACCTTTGAAGGCCAAGCGGTCTTTGTTTATTGACAGTCCAACTTTCATTTTGTCTTAACTAACACAAAGAAGAATCCTCGAATAATACTCGCAAGAGTATTTTTACGGCACAAACAATGACATGCCACACTCCGTCAAACTGGTAAATAAAGGTGATCGCTGGTGTTAACATTATAAAATGTAAAGTAGATCTTTAACTTCCTCATTGAACAGTTAAATGCTGACTTCACTTTTCTTTCCCGATGTTATCGCGTGGTTAATTACATAATTCATTAAAACAAAACTATACTATATTTGGTCGATTTTAAACGTGCACAGAATAATGACTACCTTTTAACATTGCACCTAGTTAAAAAATTGTGTTAGGAACGTCCAAATATCTAATAATGAAAAAAAGAGAAGCGTCGGTAGGAGGTTTAATTGCAAAGGGAAGATAATTTTCATGTCAGAATGACTCGCCAGTTTGACACCATAATTACTGCATAGTAAGACCTCTAATACTGTAGAAAGCCGCGAATATTCTATAGCTGATTAACGTAATCGATCAACCTACATTAACGGTAAAAGGGAGTTTTCTTAAAGGCATTTTTAAAAACGCTGCTTGTTTCAAAATTGCCTTGGAACATCAAGACTATTTCTTTGCAACTTAACTCGGCGATTAGTCAGTGGAAATGAAAGTATTTTGAACTTAAAGTGTAGACAAACGAACTAAAACCCAGCAGACTTGTTTGACGAGTGGAACCTGTGCCACCTGAGGATACAGTTATAATATTGGTCCTCAATCCTTAAAACAAACACCTCTTTTATATCCTGGATTCTTTCTTTCTTATAAGAAACTGTTCGTACTTAAAGCGGTGTTTATGCTTCTTATCTCAAAGTCACGTGAATTAAACCTAAAAACTTAAGTCCGGGGCGGAGTTTTTGTGTTAAATTCGAACGCAAAATTGGGTCGAAACCTAAACATTCTCTTGTCTCAATGAGCGCAAAACAGGCGCAAAACAAAACCGATAATTAATCGCTCTATTGATGTCTAAGCAGGGCGAATTTCCCCATTCTTCTTCATAAAGGTCGCGGATTGTTTTGTTTTGGAGTGAAGAATGACTATTGTCAATAACAGAGCCGCACAACAAAAAGAGAAAATGACTGTTACAGTGTGTTCCCGGACATCTACGAAAAGCAATATCTTTATAGCATTTGGCCAGGTAAACGAGGACAGCTTGATAAAATTCTAGTGCAGTAGGAGAGGGGCGACCTTGATCCTAATATCTTGGCTAGAATCGTTGCTGTGTGTGACAGGTGTATCTTATTTATGCGTGGCGCATGCGCCTTCCGCTTCGTTATGCAGGATAACGCAGTAAGTATGAATTATTGAGGGCACGTGTGTTTCTCCTCGGCAGATGGCGCCGACAATTAGAAAACTCATACAGAGCGAAATTGATCTCACAAGAAGGGTCTGTAAACGAAAAATTTCTCTTCAACAATGATTCGTTTTTTTCTTTCAAAAAAAAAACCTACGAAGTAAACACTGCGACAAAGCGACGTAAAATATGCTGTATATTCAACTCAAAATCTACATGTGATAAAAGAGAACTCTCATGACTGTTATCTTCAATTAAAAATGAGGTAAATTAGACGCGCGTCGGCGTAAAATAGTTTTTGGCGACTACAATTTGCATTGACGCGAAGACTAATTTTCACATCAAGTTCTAAGAAAGTGGTTTTTGTGCGGTATTTTTTTATTCTGGTACAAGCAATTTTTATTTGTCCTTTCAGGCATTAATTAATAACGAACATAAAAGAAATCATTATCGAAGAAAAATCGCTTCGCGAAATTGATTCTGGGAGAATAAAGGTCCCCCTCCAAATGTTGGTATTTTACTTCACAGGGGTGTTAAAACAAGGTGCCAATTTCCCGCTGGAAATTCAATTCCTTGATTCTTGCCACGGCTGATAATCAAGGAAATGACATTCAACACTGTGTGTCCTAAACACAACAACACAATCGGTCTTTGGCGCGCGGAACTGTTCGAGTGTCGTATCCTCGATGCCATTGGTCATTGTCTCACGGTAACAGCCAATAGAAAACAAGTAATTCTTTTGACATAGCGCGCGACACGGCGCTTGAGTGAATTAGCACAACAAACATACGTCGCGAGCCTGGCATAAGGTCAGAAAATCCTCGAGTATAAATTGAAGAGAGCACGGTGCTAGCTCGATTCAACACCGTATTGTGTTGGGCGAGAGGTCGGAGTAAACAATGTCTGTGAAGGAAATAACTAAAAGCTCCGCGTTCACTATCCCTACAACGACTATATGCTATCCGCACCAAAGAACAGAGGAAGCAGGCTCAGATGTTTTGCGGCCTCCAGCTAAATTGTCACTGTTGTCGCCTGTCTTGGGGCAAACTCGACGACGAAGAGCAGCTACGAGCGCCAAGCAAAAGGAACCGGCCGTGGTAGCAAGACGGAACGCCAGGGAAAGAAAACGCGTAAAACTAGTAAATGATGGTTTCATGCGGCTGAGAAAGCACGTACCCACGGACCCTAAAAACAAGAAATTGTCCAAAGTTAAAACTCTGCGTAGCGCAATCGACTACATACGGCACCTGCAACACGTTCTGGCAATGGCCAATAAACATCAAATCGAAACAGAACAGGAGGCAGCTGGTACGGCTCAAAACCAGAGTTGGATGACCGCGGCTGACTTTGTAAGTACGCTTTAACTGAGACCAGTCAATGATCAGTGCGACGAACGTCCCTCCGCTCCTGCGCTTCAACTTCACTTAATCTGACATCGCGTCGCTCGCTCGCTCGCTTGCATCTAAAACTAATAATCGCGTCGCTGACGATCTGTTTTGTTTTATTTTTTTAAAAAAAGATACAACAGGCGCTTTCGCGCATTTTTTTTAACCATGGCCTGCTTTGTACGACGAGCTATATTTTGATGATTGTATGGGCTTCGCTTGACATGACCAAACGAAGCCGTTGTCAAGCACGATTTAGCTCAATTCAGAATCGTTAGAATAATTTGGCATCGCCCTGAATCACCAAGCACTTGATTCCCCTTCAGTTCAATTCACTTGTGAACCTCGAAGTCTGTTTGATAATTTTGGAACTAAAAGCCTTTGCATTGATAGTTCAAATTTTCCGAGGAGATCCGGAGAGTCTTCAATATTTTTTTATTATTTCTTTCAGTCTTTGACAAGCGACATCTTTATAATCAGGAAGTTCAAGCAGAGCTATATTTTTCTTCGAGCAGCAGATGGACAAATCATTGTTACAGCACTGCCCGAAATATTCAATATTTTCTCGCAAAACACATAGAATTATGCAACCTTAAAACTAAGAAACAAGTTATTGTGCGATCGGAAGAGTCTTTTTTCTAGGGTAACGCCCATAAAATACATGAAAATTTACTTTTCGATAATATTAAGTCAGGTCATTTTGAGTGAATGCGAAGTGAGGTCTTTTGAATAATAATTTATTTCGTAAAAGCTCTAACCCCATCTTGTTTTCGTTTGTCTTTTAGAAAGCCGAGGAGGAATACAAAACTGAATTTGGCAAAACAGTTTTCGCATGTGGACAACCAAGAGTGCCAACAAGCTTTTGATGGAAAGACGATGATACATAAGCGAAATATTTGTACTGAAAGACGTTCCACCCGACAATGATAAACAAGTGGCGAGCTCTCCTTGTCCTAGAATGTACTACAAGCCCTTCGGAACAAGCGGGCTGAAAGCAAATATGCTCGCAAATAAACAGACAAGGAAAAAATTTACCGCAAGGCGGAAAGCTCTTACATATGCCATGCTTTCGCAACGGGAATTACCTGACAAGCATCGAAGTGAAATGTGGTTGCTAAATGAATGAAACATATACATCGGAAAGTAATCGACAAAAATTTTAAATATAATTATTTATACGCAATCTTCAAGCCGAGTAATTTAACTTCCACAGACAAGTTGAGATGTCGAAATTTTCTCGCTAAGGTTCTTTATGGACAGAGAAGTAAATTATTTCCCTTTCAAAAAAAATGAATTTTGTAGAAAAAAAAGAGACGTTATATATAGGTGTAAAATAAATCAAATTGATCATATTCTCTTATACTATGCCTGTAAATTATTTTTCTTTCCAGAAAAATTTGCCTTCAACGGGAAAAGTATGTAGAGATATTAAAATCGTTGTTGGTTAGCAAAATGTGAATAAAAATAGCCATCAAGACTTGGAAAAGTTTAATGGAGGATACAATTTGGGTTTTAATGTTCAGTGAGAGTTCTCGTGAAATAGAATATTCTTCGCAGTCTGAAGAAACCTCCAGCCACAAAGGATTAATTATTTATAGAAAATGACTGAGACGCTTAATAGGAAAGCGTTCATTTACATTTCCAAGTAGTACTCGAATCTATGGAACGGAAAATTAAGTATTCATGCAAATCGAAAGGAAGGCAGCACACTTCACTTGAACGACGGAAGCCCTAATCAAGCTCTTTATCAGGATTGGATGTAAGCGCAACCTTTACAAAGGCGCCAAAATAAAAGAGAAAAAAAGAGAACCTAAAATTCATTTTTTTTTTCTTTATCTGTTAAATAGTCACGTTTTCATCTCCGGGTATGTTTTCAAATAATTTCCCGCAGCGCATTCGTCTTATGGCAAGGAATTTGCGCTGGGCTCGTGGGTTATCAATTTCCGAGTGTTCTGTTCGACATCGACACGTGCCTAGCACAATTATCACTCGTTCTAATTACGCTTCGCCAAACAATATCATTGGCTCGCTAACACAATTTTGTTGTGTACTTGCTTGTAAGTCTTTTGCCACTCATGCAAATAATCCATTTCACCAACGCCGCAAGTTTCAATAAGTGAACGGATGTAGCCCAGCGCATTATTTAGACAAGCATTTAAAAATATGAGATCGTATCTCTTAGTTAGTGAGTCCGAGCTTTATTATTATCTTTCTAACGTGACCTTCTACGCATGCGTCAGTTTCACAATCTACAACCGAACTGCGGTTTTTTTCTATCTTACGTCAACAAAAACCGAGGTTACGTGGAGCAAAAAAACCGTTTTGGGACTGCGCTTCTGACGCGTACGTTACCGCGCGACTGATTTTTGGGTTTCAGGAAGTAAAAAAAACCTCTTGCTCTTCGATTGGGAAAAAAAATAATTGTTTCGAAGGGTTGCATTGACGCTAATAACTGACGGCAGGTGTTATCTGTTTTTCTGAATGAGGAGAATCTCACACGCATTAGTAAAGTGAAAGGGGCAATACCTCTCTTCCGATTCATTTAAATTGATTCCATTCAGTCGTGGGGACGAATAAGCCTGGACTATTCAATCCGAGATTAAAGAGCGGTTTTTCGAAGATCGAACACTCAAAAAATAATAATATGTAATAACAAAAACAGAAATATTTAGCACGAAATATAAACTACGCTATGAGCATGTCACAATTTACCCGAATGAGACAGGAGAACTTAATTAGAAATGTCTGAAGAAAACAAATCTCAATAACCCAGGCTTTTAACATAAAACTGTGCTGATTTGAAATCTGACCAAATAAACATGGATTATAAGATAAGAAAAAGGTACATCGCTACTTTTAAAAAAAATAAGAGTGGTTGTCTTCTTTATTACAGGTTTAAAACCTCCGACACACCCCATAGCTAAGAAGAAACTTTTCCTTTTAAAAAAACTTGTTGACACTAAATTTCAATCTACGAAAATAAAACATACGTGAAAACCACAAAATTGAGGACGGAGAAACCGGACACGGAGACAGACGTAAAATGGATGATGATCAACAACTACAGCAGTGATTCACTTGTTAAAAGGCGAACTTGTTCACTTCAAAATGTTTCATTCCACTTCGCTTCTTCTTCCCAACTGACAAAGAAAAGCCTCTCGCTGATTTTAACATGAGTGGGAATCTCCGGTTTTCGAGATAAGAACGCGTTCTTTGTTGCTTGGCTGGCTACGTGTGAACCAGAGGGAAGCTCCAAAGTGTGCCTCGTTTAATCTTGCGGAAAGATCTTACCGATTAACCAATGTTTGCGGTTTGCGTCATTGACAAAAGCAAAAGAGAGTTTGACTCGGCGAGAGGAGCCATTGCTTTGTAACTCCTCAATAATCGTTTCTCTCTCCGTAATTGTTGTTCTTTAGAATTGCAGTATTCTGAACTCCACAAGTAAGTGAGCAATATCTTAATAAGAAGGATTCACCTTTCCAATAAAAAATTAAAGCTGGACGCAAATGAATATATTTAAAGAAATATGAAATAAGTATGAGGAAAAACTGCAAGATTATAAGTTCATTTATTTCGATTTCTCTGTATCGACTGAAAGTTCAAGGAAAGCATTGCAGAGTAAAAGTTCACCAGAGTGCTTTTCCTTCGAGCTTTCAGATGAGCGAGTTCACTTTTCCCAACTCTGACTGTGCTGACTTTTTTAATTGTTAATTTTGCTTCAAGGCCGGTTGCAATTTATTCCTCGGGAGGGACTTGTGGTAGAAAAGTGTTTTACTGGAAACGCATGTCCCACGATAAAATAAAAACAATATCAGGCTGGGTGAATACGACAAATAGAGGTCGTGTTGTAACGCATTTTCTAATGTTATTCTCCGCGATTCACGTCAGTTAAGTGACAGTTGATGAAACGTTTGAAAAGCCAGCAAATCTGACTTCGCTTAGAAATGCCGGTCATCAATAGGGCTTGAAAATTGAAACATACCGCGTTTAAATAATTCTAAGATTCGCCAATTATTCATGAGGAAATGTTCAAAGGGGGAAATCAAGACAACGACAGTTAGAAAACAAAAGTTTCTTGGGATTATGAAAAACGGAAGCCTCCGAGGAAAAACACATTAGGGATTTGCCGATTGACACGTGTCAATTAAGAGGCCGGCATTTTTAAATGAAAATTCAGAAAAAGTTAGTTTAGAAATACTTGTTATAAAATCTAGTTAAAAAAATACAATTTGCGCGAGTTTGTTGATGTAAATTATTAAGTTGGTCGTCAGCAGTCAGTTTTAAAAACCACTGACTAAAATATTGATTCTGCAAAACAACAATACTGGCTGCAAAGGCAATACTGACAAAAATGTGATAAGTCATGATTTCCTTGTTTCACTTCAAAAGAAAATCGACGCAAGAAAACGATGAAAATTCAAAAGTTCATCGGAAGTAACTTTCGTTCTGGGCCGATTAACTTTTTGCTACTGTCGGCCGCGAATGAAAATACGTCGGATCAAGTTTCGTGTCGTTCACAAAGTCTTGTTATTTTACCATATTATTTATCCCATTCAAATAGTGCTATGCCAAAACACTATTTATTTTGCAGTACAGCAAATAAAAATTATGCACCGCGCCAGTTATGATTCTTTTGACATTTGCTCTGGTGAGCTTCTTTTGAAAACTGGTTGTAGAAAAGTTCAGTCAAATTAAAGCTGAACCCTCTTGGTTCGGAAAGGGGTTAGGATTAATTTTTAAAACGTCCATGTAATGATCAAATCTCTGCTTAAAATTTGTTCACATTGAAATTTTTGGAATTGCTTTTACATATGAAAGTAAAACGGTCAACCCTTCGGGAGAAGTTACTGCAAAAATTCCGGCTTTCACTGTAATGTACAAATTTCCTTTTTTACCCGAGATGTTTCCGCCCTTTTTCTAAAACGATTTTTACATAAATCTACACTTTTTCAAACATGTTTAGTTTATTACCGAAAAATGAAACTAAGAGACCAGCAAGAAGCTCGAAACAAAACGTTTGTTAGCAATTCCTAGCACTTGTATTTGAACAGGACTTAATTTTCACCATTTGTAAAATTAAACACAAACTTCTTATTACAAAATATAACCATATGTCGTTCTATTTGTTTTCAGAGAGTCCTCCATTAAACAGATTTCATTTTGTTCAAAATCTCCAAAGTAAACTTTCCCTCATAACGAATTTGGTTTGATTTTCATTGTAATTTCGCGCACGTGTCATCGTCACTTGACACAATAACGCACTTTAGGTGAATAATTCACTTACCTACCGGTAAATAATTTTCTTATTTACTTTGTGGTATTTGGTCGATTTTGAATGTTTTATGCGTTTCTAGCGCTACGGAATAGCCTTTGCACTGAGAGAACGCTTTGTAGTGCGTTGAAAGAGCCGATGGCACCGCTTTTCACGCTATCAATCTGTTTATAGTTAGGGTGAATAAAAGAACACAATATGGGTCAAAAGAACAAAGCAGATCGAGAACGAAAACAAGAATTGGAGATGAATGATTAGATTAACGAATCAAGATAACATACGAGCAACATCAAAACTTTACAAAGAGAATTAATAAGAAAAACACCCATGATAATGCAGATTTCTATAACTGAGGCTTACTGAACAAAAGAGGAAAATGAGAGTGATGATGGTACTGAGAAAGGGAAAAGAACTAAAAGAGAAATCCATGCGCTCGACTTGCACTCTTTTAACAGTTAACAGAGAAATAATTTTTTAAACTTGCATAGTCAAAAATACCTTTTCCAGAAGGGGAAGACAATTAGTTAAGGCTCTTTTTTTTTCAAAGTAGAAAACAAGCACCGTTTCAGGACCCTAAGATTTCCTTTTCACAGACGAGACTACAACATCGACCACGTGACCAGGCAAAAAATAAGAAAAGAAATGCTTGAAGGGTCCAATTTTTTATGTTTCCTCTGAGGATCAATAGAATAACCAACATGACACAGATTTTTCCTCTGAGTGCGTCACAATTTCGGATTTAAACCTCGGGCTTAAAAGATAAACATTTGGGAGTAAAACTAAGCTTCTGCGCTTGAGTTTGTAACTGATTAAGAAGAAGTCTAACAAACTTTCATAGATTAACATCAGAGCAGTGTGACAAAGTTTACTAAATTAAAATTTGCTGGTTTATGTTTTACTTGTAGGGATAACAAGCTCGGGGAAAAACTTCCTTGTTTAAGAGTAGCCTTTCTTCGCTCCGCTAAAAGGAAAAGAAAAGTGAAACAAAACCGGATTTGTATTGGATGAATTCTATTGTCCATTAGCTTCTAATTTTTATCCCTGGAGTATAGTTCTGTTTTTAAAAAATAGTCGTCATGTTCGATAGGTATCTGAACCTTCTTGTTTTGTTTCTATTTTTTTTCCTTTTTGCAACAATACAACGACTTTGAACGACTTGAAACAACATTGTGAAATTTTACGTGGCTTCTTTTCTAAAAGAAAATAAGATATCACTTACGAAACTCGCCTGTTATTATGTTACATATACCCCGGTACTGTAAACCGAAGACGAAAAGAAATTACGGAAACATGCACACATTTATTTGCTTATTAAAACGTCTAAAAATGTAGACGCTGCTAAGAAACGAAGTTTTGGACCATTTGCAATAACAAGTCGCGTCAAATACTATATAAAAACGTCATTCCGAGGGAAGATCTTCCGGGACACAGTTAACAGGGTAACCGTGGGAGAGGAAATGCTTGTTATTTCCTATTTTGTTGGTTTTTGTTTGTTTTTTCCGACAGTCAACACAGAAAATCCAGTTAAGGCGAGTTTTCACCGACAACATTTGAGACGATCGCATGTAAGGCACACGGATGTTACTAGCAAAGACGGAAGTGGAGGGCCAGAGCCGCAAAGCAAGGCCTTAAATGCCAGAACATTTCTCCTTTTTGGAAAAAATCAATTCAAGTATTGTATTATACTATTTTGCATATCTTCATATTTAAAGTTTTGAAAACGCTTTTGTCGTCGTTGAAAAAACGTAAAAAAAAGAAAGCAAGAATTTGAACGTCCAGAAAACATAACTGAATTTCAGAACCTTGGTTCAAAGAAACTGAACTATAAGTTTCCACATCTGACTCAACGAGATAATTACCTGTACAGAATCTTCTTTTGTGCCACGCGCGATCACAAAAGTCGAAACAAGAGGAGACACGTGACCTTACATAGTACAAAAACAATAACAAACACACAGGCGATATTATCCAACTATACGAGAACAAGTTTCGGACAAAGATGGCCCGTGACACACGTGTTAAAAGTCAAACACCACAATTAAAACATATGTTAATCTTTGCATTCAGGGTCTTTGTTCTTTAAGGCCGCGATTTGTCCCGCTAATCAAGGTAAGAAAAAGACCCTTTAATTTAAAGAAACAACGAAGGGCGAAGCTTTGTTTCAACTTTCGCGCTGCTAAGCGCTTAGGCTTCGTCCGTAATTGATAATGAAGATCGTTTGTAAAGAGCCATTACACAGATGAGTGATCGTGGAGATCGACATCTGTCAGTCATTGTCCGCGAAGACACTGTAATGGTCTCCTATCGCTGGGGAATCGTTAACTATATTGTCGGTGCAGGTAACGTTTTCTTTCGTCCGTGAGGCACGCTTCGCTACTGATTTTGTCGCCCAGTATGTGGCCATTGATTACTGCTAAACATGTGATAGTGTACACACAGGAACAGAAAAAGAATCTTTTTTTGAGAGCACAGGGCTGTGCAATCAGCCCTTCTTAAGCATTTACACTTAATCGGGTAACATAAGCCCTATGCCACTTTAAATCGGTGTCTTTAGCAGGCAAAAAACTATTTTTAAGTCAACCAATATCACCAAATCAAAAGATAAACAATGTCACGAGCCGCTCTAGACTCTCAGTTTCTCATGTTTACTCATTTAATTAAGGTAAAAACGCGCAAAACTGAGTGCACGGTAACCTTAATTTTTTTCAAAAAAAAATAGCTGACAAATAGAAAAAAGTTTAACTTTCCTGCGTAAATATATTTTTTTCTGTCATGAAGCGACTATTGAACAACTATCGTTGCCCGTTCTCATTGCCTCATAATTCTCTCCTCAACTTCTATGTCGATCAGATGATCAAGCATATGAGTCCTTGGGGAAGAAAACTCAGAAAAAAACGTCTGCATTTTTCGAAATTGTTCAAGTCAATCCAAACGGGGCGTCTTAAGTCTGTTACTTAAGGAAAGTAAATGAACTGAATAGGCAAGTTTAACTTACGAAGACTCCAGGCGATGGCATTAATGAACCTTTTTGTTCTTGCGCAGTGGGATGTATTTTCAATGTTGTCTTTTGTGAATTATGGCACGCTTCAAGGCTCAACATGGAACCGTTTGTTCCGGAGATGTTAAAAAGGAGATTGACTAAACTCATTTGTGGCTTAAAAAAGGGTTTGGTAGCTCCAAGAGAAGCGATTTACAAGCTTGAGGGCTAAGGAATGACAAGTTTTTTAAAAAATGTGTGCGACAAATGGCACCAACTTAGCGTCACTCGGCAACTAGCTACAAGTTTAGGAACAAAGGCCCCCGTGAGGCATTCATTAAAAGCGTTTAAATGATACACAATTTTCCAAAAATTAACGGGATATCAGATAAAAATGGAAGAAAGCAACAAAAAACGTTTGCCTTGCTTTTGTAATCAAATACTGAAAAATTCATTGTGTCGACGCGAGGCCACAGAGTTCGATTGAAAAGCAAAGAAATTTACCTTTTTTATATGGAGACCTCACTGAACGCAAAATGGCGTATTCTACAGGAAAAACGGGTGAATAAGGCACTGGTGGAAGATATCGTGCCCCCCGGCAAAATCATACCAGTCCCAAACTTATTTCGTTAGACTACAAGGCGTCCGCACGAGTTTGACCGCAGAAAAAGCCGTAAAGCCAGCGGAGCGAGCTTTTCAGGCTGCGATGTCGCCCTGCTTGGGTAGAAGTACAGAAGTACATTTCTATAAATCACCAGCTCAGTTCTGATAGCTACTATTCAAGATCATGAAAAAGGATATACTAATAGAAATTAAAACTGAATCCAAAAGTTAACCGGAGGAGGTCTGCGGATACCAATTTGCCTAATATTAAGGCCTCAACAGTTCGTCTTTTTCTTAAGCTTTCTTTTTCCTTTTGTCTATACATTATTTCTAGAAGGGCATCCAAGGGCTTTAGACGAACACGGCAACTCACTGATCGACATTACCATGTGGTACTATTTTTTCGTGATTTTTGGCGCGGGTTGCGGACACGGCAAATCCGCACTGATCGACCATAGCACTCGAACACTTTTTCCCGCGATTTTTGGCGCTTGCTAATTGTGAGAGGCTTTTGCTATGGACAACGCAGGAAAGAAGGGGAGGTCATCACGTTATAGTAAACAATAAGACTATCTTCTCATTCTGATTCGTCCTACTGAGTCGTGAAATCTGAATATCTCAGTTCTCTTCATTCTAAGATTTCATGGCTATACTACTCAAACCCACCATAGTCCAGTCAAATTATTATTCAACATCAAACTACTTGCACCATATATTTTCCAGCCTTATGTTATGCAGTGGGACCTACTTATAACCAAACTGAAAATCCACCACAATCCACTTGATGGAAGACAGGTATTTTTACCTCTAAACAATTTTAGCTTTAAGCGCATTTTACTAAGCAAAGTCAATGAAATCTCTATTCATTAGACGCCTCCAGAACTTCATGATCACATTACATAAGAGTCTGTTCTTTACGAATTATCCAGGTTATTTAAAAGATATGTTCACCGTACGGTCTTCATCCTACAATTTGCGCGGAAATCATATCCTGGCCCTTCCCAACCAAAAACAACGACTTACGGTCTGCACTCTTTTTCATACTTAGCTAGCAAAATATGGAACTCTCTCCCAGACACTTACAAAACATTAAATTTTCTAGAATTCAAGCAGGAGATCCTCAGATATGAAGCTTTTCCACAGTAGATTTACTTGAGTTATATTTCCCTTTGCATGCATAATGTTGTATATAGTTTATAAATAATATTGGAATTGTAATATAGCATATTTTATTTTACTTTAACTTATTTTCTCGAATACATTAGCTCTATAGCTACTCTGTAAGTTTCGAGGTTAAATAAAGTATATGTATGTAGGACACCCAACAAACACAAAAATACAATGTGAATCAAAAAAACCTCTTACTGTGTTTCGCGTGTCTAGCACTGTTTATACTCTCTCCACCCTCTTTGGCCAAAACGGCAGCTTGTCACCAATCTTGAATGGGTTCGAGGAACATACAACACGCAGGGTTCGAACAGATTTTTGGACCCAAAAGTCAAGACTTTTTCCAAAACAATAATTTATTTTTCCAAACTCAAGGTTATCAAATGTGACCTCTCACACAAAACGTTCCTTACGAACGAATGCAAGGCATGCGAACGTACGGCAAGCGAATGGATGAGAAATGGATAGCCAAGCCATTCGCAATGGAACGGCTGAATGGATGAACGGATGACGAAAATGTTTGAATGGATGAGGTCGAGCGGATAAACGGATGACGAAAATTTTTGAATGGATGCAGTCGAACGGATGAAGAAAATTTTTGAACGGACGAGGTCGAACGGATGAACGGCTGAAGAAAAATTTTGAGCGACTGGTTGTGATGTGCTGAGTATTTCTCGTTTCGATGAGTTGGAGCAAATTCACGGCGTGAGGTACGTATTCAATGCATTTTTGCGATCACGCAAGGCATTCGCGTGATCGCGAAAAAACTATAACACAGTAGTTAACCCTAAATTTTCACATCTTCCACCGAACGGATTATGACGGATTTTTAGCTGATTTTCCTGTTAAGACGAACCTTGACTGAACAGCGTTTAAAAAAAATTGATTACCTCGGTTACAATTAGCTTAAAGTTGACCCTCCTAAATTTCATAGATTGACTGGACTGTTCAAAGTTTCTACTGAATATAAAGCGTGAATTAGCTTCAAAGACCTTATAGGGAACAGCTCACTGGGACGGGATATTCACGGGATAAACACTCCAGGCAAAGTTACGACAATAGCGGAAGACTCTAGGCCAGTTCCAGAAGCTTTTGAATTCCCATTTAACGAAAATGTTCTTGGTCAATCAAAGCGGGGAGTTCAAGTGCTTATGGAACCAAATTGGTTAAGAGGAAGTGCAGAGTGGCTCCCTCGTTGATAGTTTACACTCTCTCATCAACGATTTTGCCTGTGAATTCAGTAGCCCGTGGTGATTAACTACCCACCCGTCTCCAAAAATGAGCACGAGGCACTGGCAAAGGGATCGGGTCGTGAACAGGGGTATGTATGAACACACAACCTACTGTATAGCATATAACCACGTAAAAGAATGTATTACTGTATACAAAACAATGTGCTTTTTTTAGCCTACTTAGCTTTCCTTCTTTCCCATTCTTCTCGCAGGATTACAGCCTAAGAAAATACAGCAACAACAAAAGTGGGTGTGGAATGAAGTAATCCAGCGCGATAATAGTATTTGATAGTTGTCCTTTGTTTCTGATGCATCATTTCTCATTCATAGCTGCATTGTCTCGTGTCCTTTCCTGTAGAGTTTGTATTCCACAAGATGGCTGCCATTAAACTAGTACATATACAAGTAGCATGTAGTTTAAACCGAGAGAAAGTTCTGCGTCATTTTAATGACAAAAAAAGCATCTTTCTAGTAAAAATCTTAAGTTGTCGGTGACCAGCCCCAAACTTGAGTGAACATAATTTTGTCAGTCCCAGCTTCTTTCGACGCAATACCGAAGAGAAGAGTCTTAAACGCAAAACGGAAGCGTTGTCAACTACACCGCTATTCAGGGCTGGGCAAGGACTGATGTGGTACCTCATACAACTGTACATCAGGTGTTTAAAACCATCGTATAGAGGCAGTTGTTTCCGTAGCACTGTCTTCTTCAGCAGATTTTTCATCTTTTTCCTCATCCTTTGGGAACAAATCAGGAAACTTAAAAGTACCACTAGCCTGAAGAGAAAGAAGGTTGAGATCAGATAGAGGAATATTCTTAACATAACATTACTGTACCAAAGGGTATTCAGTCTCTTTGCTTTCATCTTGACTGCTCAAAAACTAACGACTGACTCGACAGCAATCATCTTTGACTTTCCTACACAAAGCCTAATTCAAATGAGGGCTGTAATAATCTTTTAATAACAGAACAAATGCTTAATGAACGAAGATAATGAAGAGGCCCCCACATACTTTATTTAACACTCTTCAATAACTTCGTTGGCGCTTATTTCCATGTAATTTTTGAATATGGTGGGAGAGCGTTACCTCAAAGGGTAAAATAATATTTTCATTACATGTAATAATGGTAAATGTTCTTTTATAGTGAGATGCTATTAACTGCTCTAGCTGGTCTACAATTACTCTAATCTAAAAATTTCAAAAAATATAATAAACATATACATGTAGCATGACAGGATTAAAAACCCCATCTGGTAAGAAGCAGCCAGTGAGTTAGTTACAAGCATGACCAAGGATTTGAACTAAAGATGACCGAGAACAAAGCTAGCTATTGCTCAGAGCGGGACTCCAATCCAGGTCAATTGGATTGGGAGGACAGAGGACAACGCATTCACTTGGCCATGCTACCAGCTCCACTATTAATTTGTCCATGCAACTCAAAATAAAATTGCAGAATCACAGACTGTACCTCTTAGTAAATTTATTCTCAGATTGAAAAGTTTAAATGGTACAGTACTGGCCTAAATGCCCTTACCAGGTCCAAAGTACAAAGGCTTGCTCTTAAAATGCTTTTAAGATGATCCAAGCCACTTTCCTCAACTTTTCTACACTAAGTCAGCTTATACACTGGTTGAGCTCATCATACTTATTCAGATAACGTTATGTACTACATAAAATTTTACCCCCAAGATCAGTTCTTATTTACCCGTTGTTATTATACTCAGGGTTACAAAGGCAAAAAAAAATAGATCTAGGAATAAAACTAAACAGGGCTGTTACCAGTGTACTAAGATTTCAAGTTACAAGGTACAGCTGTATACGCAATTAGTGGGGAGGAATTGAAGACGTAGCTGGTTTGTTAGGTTCTAATTTTGTCTGTTTCCTATGAAACCACTCAGTTGGCTCAACTGACCAATGCCAGCCTGCCAAGAGGGAGGCTGTTGGTTCAAACCCCAGCTGGACCAACACTCAGGGTGTTTAAATAACTAAGGAGAAAGTGCTGCCTTTGTTAAAACATCTGCAAAAGGCTAGAATTTCTAGTCTCCTCACATAAGGATGCTAAACTGTAGGCCCCGTCTCACAACTCTTACACGGGCAAATCCTGTGGGATGTTAAAGAACCCACCCAGTGTTCAAAACCACAACTCGATGACGTCATAAAAATGAAATTTGTGAAATTATGGGGGTAGATCCTGTGGGATGTTAAAGAACCCAAATCCTTCTAAATTTGGTGTTCATAAGAAAACCAGTGGATTTGTATGGAGTCATCAGGCATAGTCCCTGTGTGGTGATCTATCTTTCATGAGAATATCTTAACAAATCCCATAATTTCAAAAATTTCATTTTCTATGACGTCACACTTCGGTACTCTATAGTCCCTGGTGTGGTGATCTATCTTTCATGGGGGGAGCGATTGTCATGGGCCTGCGTTAAGTAGCAACATACGCTGTTATGGTGACCCTGCCTAGAATTGGTGAACCCAAGTAAATAAATAAATAAATAAATAAATAAATAAATAGGAAGCTAGAGGGCCATATTTATTATAGTAGCTGGGGAAACTCCCTACCTCCTAGCCTTTAGTACATGTAGCTCTCAGTGACAGCCCTATTTAACTAAAATAATAACAATACAAAGTGAACTTTCTGCCCTGGAAAATATGTTACATAACCCAGTTTGTGCACAATACTTACCAGAGTTACATAGGCCACTTTGTAATCAGGAAGTTTCTTTTTCACAAGTTTGTCATTCTTGATTATAGTTTTTGTTTTACCTAAAATTAAGTAAAAAAGACAGCATGTTTCTAGAAAATATGCAACACCTTTTTAGTCCATGAAGAGTTAAGCACAGTGTTTTATAACTATTCCCTATCACCACAGTTTTATATCAACTTCAGCTGAAGAAGCAGGGAATGTGAAAGTATTAATACTATGAAAATAAATACAGGAAACACCAAAATTTGTTTGTATTTTTTCATTGCTATTGCTTTTCTTAAAACATTGAACTTATATTTTTAGCAAGAAATAAAAATATTATAATGTCTTGAATGATGTAGTTCCTGCTTTATAACTGTAGTTTAATCATTATATTATCTCCCTACAAACACAGAAAATAAGCAACTGTGTAATATCAGTAGCAATAAAGTACTACAATACTCATGACATTAAGACTGGTTTTCACTAGTGACGGAGTTGGAGTCGTAATCAGAAACGTAAAACTCCACCATCTAGTGAAAACAGATTGTGATTCCCCTTTTGACTGTGTAATTTATGATCAAGTGAAAACTGGGTCATCAGAGTCCCAGGCAGAAGGGGAAGAACTAAACCAAACACAAAGCGTGGGAACATGCATCGTGATTGGTTTATGCTTCCGCTTCTGCTTCTGATTAATGATTACCCCACATCACTTATTCTCCCTTTCCTTTAAAACGATATCATGATCAACATGATCAATATTATGATAACTTTCAAGCTCTCCATTTGAGTAACAAGCAAAGCAAACCAAGAAAACCCAAATCTCTTAAGGCTCAACACTTTCTTGTGCCACTCACATATGACCTCTTGTAATACTACCCAAATGAAGAGGTTACTTGCGGGCTACGATAACAGAAGATCAGTACACTGGCACAGTTTCTGTTCTCCGATGTAAGGTTATCTGGACTCTGAAGCCTGGCAAATTTTTGCCTCTGGAATCCAGAATCTAGCCTGTGAAAACAGCCGTTTCTCCTTGCTTCTTGCCATGGGGGACATTTTGCGAGGAGGAACATCTGCGACTCTGTAACAGAAATTCTATACTAATGATGTAAAATCCGTCCAGAATCCAGTCAGAAGCGCCGATTGGTCGATGGAGTAGTAATATTGTTTTAGCTATTGTTTACGAATGACAGACAAAAGACAAAGGGCTACAAAGGTCAAATGTAAGTGCCATGAATCTATAAAAAAAACAGTAAATATTTCTAGAATATATTCTTCTCTAGAAGAAGCATTTGAGTTTTGCTGGAGCTTGTTTGCAGATGAACACAAAACTTTACGAAAATCGACCAAGAGAAATGTAAAATCGAACAAATTTGCATTTGGAACCCTGTGACTACCAGATTTATTATGCAAACATTGATATACATGTGCGTCGTCAATACGGAATTTCTGTCACTGAGTCGCAGACGTTCTTCCTTGCGAAACGTTCCCAGTGGAGAGGAGCGAGGAGAAACGGCTGTTTTCGCAGTCTATCCAGAATCCTAGGCTTTGGAATCTGGAATTGAGCTTGAGGAATCCAGAATCTCTCTAACGATTGGAATCCCGAATCCAAGTTCTACTGACAGTGAATCCACAATACAGTACTTGGAATCTGGAATCCACAGCGTTGAATCCAGAATCCAAGACTGTCTTGGATAACCTTACATGGGACAATTATTTTCAGGACTGCTCACCATGTTGTATTCTGGTGTTCACCTTGTAAACATCAACTTTGTAGATACTCTGAAGGTAATTTCTAATATCCAGTTTCGACATGCTGAAAAGAAACATAATATCATGAAACATTTAATAAAACTGTGGGGAGATTATTTAGAATTAAAAACTGCATGCTTCAAGCAAGTAAGTGGCCAGACCAATAAATTGCCCCAAATCTTTTTGCCGAAGGGAGGGGGTTTACGGAATCGCACCTATTGATACATGTCAATAGTAAATGCAAATTTTACTGTCAATCAAAATCACAGGAAAAAATAACCGATTCCCATTTTTGGATATTTTAGGGAATAATTTAAAGAATACCCACAAAAATCCCAAATTTGGAAGAATGAGACAAGTCACAATCAGGGAACTTGGTTGGGGATTCCCTGGTTGGGACTTGTCTCACTTTGCCAAATTTGGAATTTTTAAGGGTATTCTTTAAATACCCTAAAGTATCCAAAAATGGGAATCCGTTATTTTTTCCTGTGAATAATGTCTCCTCCTATTATTTGTGGGTGGAAATTGGTGAAACATCTTGATTGTTTTGGAGACAACAGAAGAACAAAAAATATTCATCATCTGTGGGCACACAACTTTGGAAATGCCTGACAATAGACCTTGTCACGGTTTTCGGTGCCATCTTGACAAGTAGGCAAACATGTGAGAAATTACAGTATTTGTTTGAGAATCTAATGTCGAATAATTTCCGTAAAATGGATGCTCTGAAAAAAATATTCATTGTAAATTAAAGCTACAAAGCAAAGTATTGTCCTAAAAAATTTGGGGGGGCATACCTGTGCTTGAATTTCTCCAAAGGCTTGCTTTAGTTTTTCCATATTGTCTGTAATTTTTCCCAGGACTTTCTTACTGACAAATGTATAGAACATTTTAGAAAGTGGTTCTAGGTCTTCTGGCGCATGTAACGCCCTCAATTTTTTTCAGTAAAATCCTTAGGAGTGAAGCTTTAGTTTACAATTCATACTTTTTTTCAGAACAGCTGTTTTACGGAAATTATTTGACATTAGATTCTCATACAAACACTGTAATTTCTCACGCGTTTGCCTACTCGTCAAGATGGCGCCAAAAATTTGCAGTTTGACAGCCATTAAAGGAAACTGTAGCGCCAAAGCTAAGTTGTTTACATGTTTTTGACCAGCGCGTTCCGTTCATGTTTCGTTTTTGTCAACTTTTAGGCATAATTATTTCTTGCTCAGAAACAACACACTTGCCTCCAGAAATTATTCTTAACGTCTTAAAATTATTGCCACGAATATTTTGTTGAGCGAAAATAAATCAAGTCGACAAAAGCCACCTACTCCAAACTTCGAACGTTTGGAGCTGCAACCGACGGTATCTGTCCTATCTGTAAAGTCGCTTCGATCCATGCAAAATTCGAACTGCAGCGGTAAACAGGGATGACCAAAAAAAAACCATCAACTTACTCCATGGGCACATGAAACTGAACTGTATTATCTGGCAGTTCTCTTCCAGGTCTGACGATCTTCATGTACCAATTACAAAGAAATATTCGAGCTTGCAATGTTGGTTTCTTCACCACATGTCGGTACGCCATCTTGAACGGGATTTTTATGAGAGATCTGGGTTCTATCTAAGGAATGTCCGGGGAACCACAGGACACCCACCTGTACTGGATTTTTGTTCAGTACGATATATCGCTAAAAATGTGAATGGATCAGTGCTAAATTAACGTTGTATTACCTTACCTATGACAAATTATTGTCCTTTGCTTCAGAAGTGGTATTTTGAGCAATTTTGAAGGATTTTGAGTTCGCCGTGTATTGTACCTTCAAGAGAGAAAAATGGGAACTCTTAATAGAAAGTGCACGCTGTTACCATTTCCCGCACCCCTGCCAACCAAATATGGCTCAACATGAGTAGCGGCGGGAGTTGGGAATGGAAAGCTCGTATTTTCCTTCTTAATTCTAGTATCGGAACAACGAGAAAGCGTTCTCGGTTGAGACATTTTTTCCTTAAAACATAGAGCAGGATTGAAGTCAGTAATCTTCAGTCATCAGGCCGGCCTCGACCGGCCGTGGAGACGTAATTTACTTAACCAGTTCTCGCATCCCATCTGTTCACCATTTTGTGACTAGTTTTTTTATGCCGTGGTGGCGCGTGTAACAGGATAGTGATCCTAACCAAACTTCAACCAAAATTTCAGACAAGCATGTTTCACGTATGTAGTCAGAAAAAACGATGACTGGCAAATTTTCCTTTTTTATCTTGCCTTAGCGTGCTTGCATCACGCTTTGCGGATGCGAGTGAAAGACACCGCCATAATAACTTATCGCTTCGGGAAAGGTGGTTGGGAGGATTATCGGGGGATCGCAAATTGTTTTCTATGGGAGAAAGGAAGGATCGCTCTTTCATTTCTCGTAATTAACGAGGTCTGTGAGAAACTGTGTTGATGATTATAGTTTGATGTTTGACGGGGTTTAATTCCAATGGTCGTGGGGTGAATTTAGGCCTCGTAACAAAAAACCTGAAAAGCACTTTATATTATAACTACGAAAAGTTCCGTTTCATGTCTCGTTTGTAAATAACATCATTTCATTCGGGCAAGACGCTTTTTCGACACCACTATGATTAATTACTTTACACGCCCTTAGTGGTAAATGAAATCTCACTAGATAAAGCAAGATAAGATTCAGACGCCTTTGACCGTCGTGGCTCGCTTACACCTCCAAACTTTCCTTAATGGTCTTTAACAATGTCTCCAATCAAAGTGCCCAATGTTACATTATTTTTATTTTCGAACCATTTTTTCCCTTTTTGATACAAATCCTTATAAATTCGCCGTTACGTGACCAACAACGCAGAGTAATTTTTTGGCCATATCCCGTTCGGATCTGTTAGCATAAGATAAAGGTGTGGTTCATAGCCTGCAAATTCCCTTCCACATTTTTTTCTTTTTCTCTTCCCTTTGTGCAGAATAAATACTAGAGCTAACTAACGAGACGGCATAATCCGGAAAAGAATAAACTTAACTGAACCTTTCAATGACGTGCGTTTAGTCAGCTGATAGTTAGTTACTTTAGAATTCGTAGGATGTGTACACGCGTCTTCCATTTTGAACCAAATTTCTGGCAATGGACACCATTAGCTTCATCATGTCAGTGTTGCCCAGACGTTTTGTCGCGAAGAGACTAAGAACAAAATTAACTCGCGTGCAAGCAACAGAAAACTCCTTAATTATTTACAGTTGACCAATAAGGCATTATGATAGAGAGTTCGAGCTCTTCATAGAGTACTCCTTCCAGTACAATAAATCAAAATCATTTACTTGTCAGTTTCAAAGCAAAGACAGTTTTTCCGTACGATTTCAGTCAAAATACAATCGCTTCAAGCGCATTGGAAAAATGTTTCGAGCTCAACGCGTTAAAAACTATATCGTGAAACCTGAAACCCACTACCTGGAGAGTTAATAGTTTTTGAGAAGCACTTGTTCGGGAGACAACAAATATTAATTCAGATTGCCAAGTTCATCGACAAGAATTGTTTGTCAAATTACTATCTGCTCATTTACTAATTTTCAGAAATTTTGAATCTGAATCAGACGTTTAACTTTTACCATAACCGTGGTTATCTCTCGAGGCGCCTGAAATTGTATTTTAACGTCTAACTGAGAAAGCGTCTTCGGTCGGCTGCAAATCCCTTCCAAAGCGATCAAAGAAAGACAAAGACGCACAGGTGAATCGTTTCGACTTTATTGGATTGGAATGAATACGCCATAAATCTCTAGGGACCCCGTGGTTACAGTTGAAACAATTTTAATTACAATGATGATGTTTTTTTTCCTTGTTTAGTTAACTCATCGTAAGACTAGACAAATTTTTGATCCGGCAAAATGACCTAAAGTTTTAAAGCGGACTAACAGCCTAGTTGTATAACCTAGTTGCTGTAGGTTGACATTTTCAACACTTTCAATAAGCACCGACGGCCGACGAAACGCGTCGGCTAGTTCTTTGCTAGAACGAACTGAGAAGCAACTAGTTTGAATAATGTCGTAAATAAAAAGGATCATAAAATCTGAATGAACTGGTTTTTCATTATGCTTTAGTCATGTTTATAGGTTTACGCAGAATTTCTTTACGTGCAAAGTACGTAATTTAGTTTTCATCACTGATGCGTTCATTGGTTCAGGTAGGAATTGATTGTGTGACCAATAAATCGAAACTTGAATGAAAACTACATTTTTTTGAATGAAAAACACACTCTTTTGTCCTCAATTTTATACCCAGAACGCTGGAAATCGCATTTTAGGGTTTTGAAATTTCAAAAGAGATATTCTGGCGAAGCACGCCCCCAGACTCCCTAAGAAGAAGAGGGCTAACCGCCCCTTGTTGATACAGTCGGATACTCTTTTCAAACCTGCTGGCTTCTTCAATTTTTATTGAAACCCCTGCATTTTCAAATACATCCTCTCACGCCTCATTGTCTTGGTTCGTGCTGGGTGAGTCGTGGGCTGCGTCTGGTGGTCAGTGTGGCGCGAAATATTCTCCTACACCTGCTTATCAAATTGTTTGTTCGTGAAATCGTGAAATCTTAGTTCAGAAACATTTATTTCAAACATCTTTAGCAATAAAGTGCTGCTAATCACTAGCTTTCAACCTGGTGACCTATCTAAAGTTTCTTAGTACATGACGATTGTGATACTTTATAAATAAGCGTTTCGTGCTTCTATATGTAAGTTGATTTTCCTACGGCACATAATAGTTTCTTTCCATTAAAATTTGTTCTCATTTTTATCTCCCACAGTTTAAACAATGAAAGAGCCAGTCCTACTGTAGTCGAATTTAGTAATTGTGAATAGTATATTATTGTAGTGACGTACTTGCACCGGATAGCAGACTGCCTTCATTGTTTAAGCAGGTTTGTCGTCCAAGTCTCAAAATTGAATATGTTTTGATATCGGAAGTGATCCAGAATTTTGTTTTGTCTCCTAGGAATTTCAACATTTACTTAAAACTGATCTCAGAAAAAAGACCTATGAACTCTATCATCTAACCATACGGGCCAACCAAAGGAATAATAACCGAACCTACACTCGGTTTCCTAAGCATTTACTCAGAAGGCTAAGGATTCAGTACAATAAGCACTTCACCAGGGAAAAACTCCAACAGCGGTAAGTGAAAATCAAATTTTAGTTTCTTTAAAGATTCAGAGAGGAAACAGTGGAGTTTTTTTGAAGTTCTCGTGTTTAACTGAAGTAAAAATTGGGTGATTAGAAACGTTTCAGCTAGCAAACACTCTGGCTAAAAATACTTTAGACGATTTACTGTTACGTAATACATTATTCTCTTAATTTTGTCAGCTGAAATTTCCACCTTTAATAAATTTAAGAACTTTTAGACCCTATATTTAATCAAAATGAATGTCGAAGCGGATCAATTTCAATGAAATACCGGCCGATTTTATTATCCTTTAAATTGGGATGTGCCGATGTAGAATTGTAAATAAAGTTTAGCTTCCTTCCTGCTTTGGGTGGTATGAAAAGGTAAAGTAATAATCCATTGCCACCGGTAATGGCAAACGAGAAGATCCTGGGAGACGAGGTTGGTAAAAGCGGAGCTCTAGCGTTAGCGTAGCATTGCACCATTGGTAATCAGATTTGGCTATTTATGTGTCCACAAGGTTATGATGAAATCGTACATCCGTGCGTCCACCCTTAAATGTGACAGTTATCTAAACAGAGTATTCACTGAGCAGTATCACGTTACTGTATCGCGGGCTCAAGTGTACAACTTCTCGAGGTGCAGTGTTTTCTTGAATTCTCCGCTGACCAGTTATTAGTTTTTAATTGATCACAGACCTGTCAGGGCCTATTAAATCGACTTTTTTGAAACACATCAGAAGTGTTTTATCTGAAGCTTCGTCTTCACCCCTAGCCGAATCTTTATATTAATTGGCAGGAGGCCATAAGGTCCCCCTCCTTATAGATGCAATAAGAGCAAGAGTTTGCTTCATATTGTGGTTATAACACACCCATTAAATTGAAATCAATTTTATAATCTCCGTTGAAGGGTAAGCTTATCTTAAAGTGGATCGGAAGTATGCTCGTTTCTTGCCATTCATCTGCCTACGGTCTGATTCAATTTATGACCAGTATAAAGGTGAAAAGTAAATACGGTAAAATCTGTTGTATACCTCGAGGCTAAATGGTAATGGCCTCCACGGGATGATAAATGTCCTACAGTTTTAAGTCAAATCATGTAAGGACTCCAGTCCGATGATCGGTTCAGAGAAAAAGTTGGCAGACAAACTTGTTTTTCACTTAGTGAATGTCCCGAATAATACCAAGAGCAAAGGTTTTCGGTTGTATTTGAAACAATTTTAATTCCATGACCAGCGAAATTGTTATTTCCTCCATCTTCCGTCCAAATACAAAATAGTGCTTAGCTTATGGAACGATGTCAAATACTGCAGAATGTACGCAAATAAAATAAGAACAAAACGAAGACACATCAAGTAAAATGAAGACCGCCACCTTGAAATAGACCGTGACGGAAGAGAAGATATTTCAGAGTAGTGATGAACGCTGAATTTCGATCG